GTCGACATTACACTAGAAAATACATAAAAACACCTGTAAGTTCCAGGCAGCATGCAAGAGCCTCACCTGCGCACTGACATTTCAACCAAGGGCATGTTCTCATAAGGTCAAACTCATAGAGAACATAATACTGTTTAACATCTTACCTGCACATGGTGATTTACAACTCAACATGATGAACATTTTAAGCATTATATAATCAAAAGTTACGCAAAAGAACATTATCAATCAATCAATCTTTATTTCAGACTCAAGGTCCATATCACATACAAAATGACAAGATACACATCATTAGACAGCACAAAAACAGAAATACATCAATACACAAAATAGAAACTCCTGTTAGTATATAATGCAATACAAAATAAAATCATCTTAAGTTGTTTTTATCCATGCTCCATGCAGACTCACAGCACAGCGGTTAACTAAAGTATGAAATTACATTTTTACAAGCAATTGATCACATGACTTCACATTACAAAGCAATATCCTAGGAATGTGTACTTGTACGGATGTAATAGCTCAACACAGTATGTTTTTTGATGACGTTATATTGTCATGCAGCTAAAGTAGAGCATCCTCCTATTGGATGTCATTCTGTTATGTTAAATGAATGAAGGAAGTTGCGGGTCAGAACACAAGCATCGGCCACTCATGGAGAAAATGATACCTTTTTTTTAAACTGCTGAAGCACACAATCTTTTTTATTAAAATAAAATATTTGTTGTAATTTAAATGACATTATTTAGCCCAAACCATGACAAGAAAACAGCCTGGGAAATGATAAGATGCAGGGATTTCCACATATTTTTGACCATATATCAATGTGTTTGAATATGAGGGATGCAACTAATAAATCAAGTTTCTAGGTGATGTATTTTTGCACTTGCAAGCCAGCGAAGACAACAGCTGCTGGTAATTTACCAGGTTGAGTGTGCATTAGTCAGTCATTATGAATGACCTATTGTTCAGTAAAATACCAGTTTCTTGTACTGCCATGGCCACTTCACCGTGATATAAAGGATACATTATTATATTGCATTGCACACAGACACCATTGTGTCATTCAACTTGTTAAAGTGCAAAATTAATATCCGTATGATGAGATTCTTTTAATGTATGGAGGATTCATTAATGCAATGACAAATTATTCATGTCAGCATATTGTTGCAGTGCCCCGACACTCTGGCTTTTAACCCTTTTCAAGCTGTCCCCCTCTGCTCTCTCTTGACTTTAGCTAGAGGCCTCTCTCCCTCTGGCCTTTTTCCTTACAGCCGGACCTGAAGTCGTCTCTGACTCAGCACACCCGCATTTGGACTGTCTCTCTCTTTCTCTTCTGGACTTTCCTTTGTCCCACGGCAGCAGCAGCAGCACTCCTTTCCCTCTGCATCCTCTCACACGGGCCGACACAAAGAACGAGTTAAAAAACAACTTCTCTGTCTTTCTTTTCTCTGCATTTCTTCCTCTTTCGCCCTCCCTCAGTTGGCATCTTTTCCCCCCTCCCCCACACTTCTCCTTTTACTTGACTATGGACACAGTGTTCATGTGTGCATTTGGGGAGGAGGGGGATGGGGGGGGTATCATCTTATAATCACCAATCAGAAGGATACTGGGGGCAGTTGTCATAGAAACCTTGTGCACGGCTCTAGACGCCCCTCCTACCCCCCCACCACCAACAGAATTGCATATCACATAATGATAATAATATCATTTCTGAGGCAAAAAAAGGAAAAAGAAAGGGTGGAGGGGTGGGGTGCAGACTACAGACCATAATAGTGCTCCTGTGCTGATGGTCGCCATGGAGATAAGCAGAGGGGTGGCGGTGGAGGAGGAGGGTTACAGGCGGGGTCAGATTATCATGTAAGTCAAAATGCATACCATAATACTTCTTGACTGCTCCCCCCCCCCCCCCTCCCTGCCGCTCAGACACCATCTCCGCTCCACCTATCGTGCCCTACAGGACACGCTCTGAAGCCGCTGCAGATAATAAAGTGCAGATGGATCTGATCAGAATACAACATGTCTGCCACATGAGATAACACACAGTGGCAGCTGACAGATGGAGAGAACAAAAAAAAGCTACAAATGTGAGTTTTACCTCGCGGTTGTCGGGATGTCCCAGATAGCTCATGTGCTGATGAAGTTGGGGAGTTTAAATCTGCGCCATGACCTTTTCATTTACAGTCATCTTTCTAAACTCTGCCATCTTTTCTATCTCACTTTGTACATAACAAATAATGATAAAATACTTAGTAAAAATAGTCTACGTTGAAGTTACCATCAATCAAGAAGACACTTCTATTTAAGTTGTTATTCGTAATGTTAACTCCATATTTTCATGGGCCATAACCTTTGTTGTTCACACTGCACACATGAACTGTATGGTTACACTTAAGATAACCAAGGGAACCCCAGTAAAAGACAAATGGCTCCTTAAAAATCCCATCAAAGTCAGAAAGGCTGCATTACTCTTTGCAATTATACGATGAAAGAAACATCTTGCTAGAAGATGCAGACAATATGATAAATACTGTTATCTGCAGTAATTCAGTTTTATATTACACCAAATTAGCCGCTTTCACACCAAGTACTTTGCCGTACTTAGTTCCCATCACTTAGTTCCCCCATGGAACTAAAGAGCAGATCGCGTTCACACCGGAATAAGTCCCTGAGGGAAGATTACGCAAATGAAGCCGCTGACGTCACTTCTTCTTCTTCTGCTGCTTTGGGTTTACTGGCAGGCCGCAAACAACTTCACGGCATATACTGCCACCCGAAGTCCCCGGCCGGAAGTCCCCGAAGTTGGGGACTGGCTTCACAAAACTTTTCAGAGTTTTACGGAGCGTGGTTTGCAATTCGCCAATCAGAAATTGGAACTTTTTTCTCATGAACTAAGTTCTCTTTTTGGTGTGAACGCAAAATCCCAGGAACTAAAAGGGGAAAAGTACGGGGAAAGGTACTCCGGTGTGAAAGCGCCTATTAGGCGGAGTACACTAATGGAGTCCACTATGGGCCAAAACTAACACTTAGGTTTCTGTAGGGTTCATGGCAGAACAAAATAAAACAAAAATACAAATATATATTTTTAGTTTTTGTTAGTCATTATGTTAATAACACCCTAAAGATTTGTATTATTTGTGATTTGTATTATCACGATTCAATAAAGTCAGACTGAAGCACTCCTTTGTGCATCAGTCAGTCCTCACAGTAAATACGGAGCTAAATCCCAGACCAAATGCACGCTGAAGGCTCTTTGAGCATGTTTTTCTCTCACTGATTGTGCTGTTATGTTAAATGTTTGTGTTTCATGTATTTGTGTATGCATATTTGTCTGTTGATGTTGGACATGGAGCTGCTGTGACGCAAGTCAAATTTCAGACTTGATCTGACAATAAAGTAATATCGTATCGTATCGTATGATCTAAAAAAAAAAAGGAAATTTGAAACCTTTTTCTTTCTGGGACCCAGGAGATATAGCAAATATGTGTGCCTATCCTGCTATTTGTGTTTATTTTTTTAATCACACAGCGTTAAGATGAAATACAAATGTGCCTACATAACTGTCAGTTGCAGCCGTAGCATTATTATTGGTTTAACTAGCCTAACAGTATATTCTTAAAACATTTAAAAAGACCATCTTGAACAGCTACAACATTATAATACTTCTAGGCAGATTGTGGACAGTAACAAAGTACATTTACTTAAGTACTGTACTGCTCCACTCCCATTCAGGCAAATAGTGTTTTGCTGAAAAGCCAATCAGAGTGATTTATTTTGCTGATGGCCTTTTACCGACAGCCTCCCGATTCAACATGAGGGCTTCACAATTCTATAATTTCCCCTCCTGGACTCCTATCCTCGTGTCTTTGTCCCGCCCACAGGAGATGCGAGCGGAGGAGTCGAGGAGGGGAACCGAGGAGAGAGGAGGGGAAGCAGCAGGCGTTTAGAGAAATGAGAAATCCACTCCTCTGAGCGGTCATTTTAAAGAGACGTCCATTAATGATGACAGGAGGCAGTGGCACAGCAGCCCTCTGATGTGTTCATGACAACTTATATATTTACTTTTAATTCATTCACAGTGCGGTATAATGAGACAATAACAGGCTACAGATGCGGACATAATAGACACACATATATTTATATAAATATATACAATTTCAGAATCAAACAAGTATGAGAGCACTCTCATAATAACGTAACACAATCAGAGACTGGATATAACCCCCCCCCCCCCCCCCCCCTCTCTCTCTGGTCGCTGAAATGGGGAATTGAAATTACGGGCCAGAAGTTGTAAAAGTATTAAAAGTAAGCATAGGACACCAAACCAACTGAGACCTGTCTGTCCGCCGCATCTACGCACTGTACAACACCACACACACACACACACACAACACACACACACACACAACACACACACAACACCACACACACACACACACACACACACACACACACACACACACACACACACACAGTACAACACGCACCTACAGCTCCTAAAGCATATCATATATTTAAGCAATAGCTCACGACAGGCCGTGGTATATGGCCATTATATCACAGTTAAGGGCCGTGGTTCGGCCCAACGCGAAGGATACAGCCGTTGTGTATTTTATTATGTGAAGCACTAAATGGTTTTAGAAAAATATCGACTCTTTGTTTGTAGATATCTACTAAACTAAAGCAAATACAGAGAGTAATGTAGGCCTGTTATACTGAGTGATATATATTATACACACTGCTCTGCTTTCTGCACGGACCTCACAGCTGTTCTCACTGTAAACATCGCGTCGCGATGAAAGCAGTTAATAAAATAATATCCAGGGGATGCATGCAGAGCTGTCATTGGCTGAGATAAGTCCGGACGTGCGTCACGACTCTTTGAAACATCACTGTTGCCGGAAATACATCCGCGGAGGAGCCGTGGAGGAACCATCAGTGTATCCTCGATTATGGCTCCTCCAGAGAGCCTCCTCGATGCTCGGTCCTCGATGTGCATTTAGAGAAATGAGATGTCCTTCAACATGGCTCGCTGAAATCAATTTCCGGGTCACTACCGGAGGACAGAGGAGTCGAGGAGGGGAAATTAGAGAATTAAGAAGCCTTCCATGTCGAATCGGAGGCGGAAGGTGTCGGCACGGCCGAAAAGACACGACGGTGCGGGACACACCAATCTGAGTAGGGCGACACGACGCTCATCGACGGCCAGACATCTATCGACAGCCGAAATCGGCCCGGTGTGTAGCGGCCTTTAGTCTCAGTCAGGACCACAGTTTTTGCCACAATAAGTGAAATTCTACTATAGTAATTACGGCTAGCTCAGTACAACCAAACAGCAGCCAACTGTTCATTCAATAGACAAATTGTTGATTATTCGGGCAATCAATCAGGTAACACACACCTCGAATTACAATCAATCTGGTCTAAACCATAACGTTTGTATTTTCTTTTAGAGTCTACTGGCTCTCTTACGCTATACTTCAAGCGCCCAAGAGGAGACTGAGATGGCAGCAGCTGAACTGTGGATTTGGGAAAGGAACATCTAATTTTTAGGTAAATCCAAGTACAAACAATTGTACGCTTATGCTCTTGCTATGAATGTACAATATCCAGGTTATTTTATACTCAGGAGCTTTTGGGGGAAAATGTATAGAAAATAACACACTTTTTCCATTTCTCTTTTCACATACTGCGTTTAGGTGACAGCAATGCTTTGAGCTAAATGCAAGCTACCTACTTTTCAATTTTGTTTTGAGTTGGACAGTGAAATACTGCCATTATTAACATGATCAAAATCACACATGACACCTGAACAAGAATCCATTAAACATTTAAGAAATTATTAAGATTAAATATTTCGTGGTGGCCTGACCATAGAGATGGACATTTTCCAACTCCCTCATATACCGTGTTTTGCTTTTCAAACCTCAATTGGAGTGTATATTCAGTTTGTACACATTGGAAAACGATTAGGGTCGTTTGCCATCGGCAGTAGACAAGGGCTTTTCTGTTTTTGTGATAAGATCAACGGTGTGGAGGTATCAGTCTTCATCGTTAGCGGTCGTCATCGTTAGCGGGGTTAGAAAAAGTGTGCAATCGAGTGTCATGTTTCCATCATTACCAATGGGAGCATGAGCCGATACATATCCGTGAGTCATGCTAGTCAGTTGTCCCGGGAATAAATGCAGATGATATATCCAAAGACAAAAGCCAGATGTTAGCTGGTCTTTTTGTCACTCATGTCCGTGGAAATGATTTTTTGAAACCAATTATTGTGCTGTTTTAATACCATACTGATCAAGCTTCCGTATCAGGTTACATAAAGACTACCTGGTGTCCAGATGTAACAGCAGTGAATACAACGAATTCCAAGAGAAGCTGGCACAAAAGGACACTGCAAAGGATCCGCTGTGGTAAGAGTAAACAAGGCAAACCACTGCACATAAACACGCTCAGGCTCCATCGCTGCCTCAATAATTTACATTACAGGGGACAGGGAGTGTATTGTGCTCAGTGTACTGCTCAGATAGTTTGCCCGTGAAGTTTTTTTGATGACTTCCCACTCTGCCTCTGTGGCTTTGTGCTGCCTTCTCTTTTGGGTCTCGCTACCTTCTTGTTCGTGAGTCACTCTGCACCTGAAGATAGATACTATTTCCCCGACATACATTATAGTCTGTGCACGTTTAGGCGTCATGTTGATGCACACACACACACACACACACACACACACAACCACACACACACACACACACACACACACACACACACACACACACACACACACACACACACACACACACACACCACACAAAAGCTCATGTGGACTGGAGGAGGGAGGGGGAAGGAGTTGGCGCATAGGGGGGGATCCACCGCACACAAAAAAAGGCCTAGGCCAGACCATAATACTCTCCCCCCCCCCTTCTTACTTCACCGCTTCCGCCCCTCCCCCAGCCTGACATCCTATAATATGCGTTTGCCTGCCCCCCCCCACCTCCTCCTTCTTTCTTCAATACTTGGCCTGCCACTCCATAATAATTACACTGCTAATTCGCCTTCTCTCTCAAAGCCCCCCCCCTCCCTCTCCCTTCACCGCCGCCATCATCATTTCCTGTCTTATAGGTTCCTGAAGTGCAGAGTACAGTATGTCTCTCAAAACAGCAGCCACTTATAGAGGCTCAAAATAACTAGCCTTCCTATCTGTGACGTCTTCATCACACTGTGTCAACCCGGGGTTCCTCTCTCTCTGCTGCTACACAGTAGTACAGATCATCGCGGATACTAATAGATATGAAATAGGGCCAGTTTATACGGCCTGGGATACAGGGGGGGAAGTTCATCGTCTTGTTGGCTATGGCTTGGTTCTTACAAAATCAAACCAGACATAATTATATCTACTTAATAAGGTCACTAAGCACAGCGATGCCGGATTGGTGCAGTCCCAGGACCTCCCCTCGGGGTCCCAAGATGAACAAATTGTGTTACGCAAGGATTGTTCTTGCAATATTCTGGACACATGAATCTTTTTTAAAGACTTAAATTATCTGAGATAGAAAATGAAATTACTGCTTACAACTTATAGCTACTCTAAGGCCTGTGGAGTGTGGTCATAGACCAACAAAAATGTTGGCTGTGTTCAGATGTATTTGTGGTGTGCAATCCATTTATATTAATCATTTTATATTGTATATTTATGTCGAACTGTAAGAAGAATATGCAATTAAGCTTAGAATTTGTATTTCTGGTGCTACAGCAGAGCAAGATGTTGCAGGTCCTTCGTTAATGAAAGCGCTGAGACCTGCTTATATTCATGAAGCTCTGAGGATTATAGCTGTACGCTCTTACATCTGTTGAACCACAGTGTATTATACCCAGATATGGACACATGTGGAGACAGACAGCTTGTCACAAACTCAACAACCTGGCTCTCAACACCAAGAAGACGAAAGAGGTCATTGTGGACTTCAGAAGGAACAAAGACGGCACGCACTCCCCAGTCCATCTTAGTGGAGAAGAGGTTGAGCGGGTCACCAGCTTCAAGTTCCTGGGAGTCCACATCTCGGAGGACCTCTCCTGGACCACCAACACCTCAGCCCTAGTCAAGAAGGCTCACAAGCGCATCTTCTTCCTGAGGAAACTGGCAAAACTCCGCCTATCCTCCCAGGTGCTAATGAACTTATACCGTTGCACCATCGAGAGCATCCTCTCCACCTGCATATCAGTATGGTACGGTAACTGCACGGTCAAGGACAAGAAATCACTGCAGAGGGTGGTGAAGATAGCACAACGCATCATCAAGATGCCACTCCCCTCCATAGCCTCAGTCTATGAAAAGCGGTGCCTGCGAAGTGCACGAAACATCATCAGAGACTCTTCCCACCCAAACCATACACTGTTTGTCCCCCTACGTGGCACCCGCTCTGGGACACGCTACCGCAGCCTCCCGGGTAGAACAAACAGGACTACGCACAGCTTCTTCCCTTCAGCAGTCAGACTGCTGACAATGAACCCTACGCTGTCCCATACTGCCTAGTTGTTGTCGTGTGCTGAAGCGCAATTCTGTATTCACTGTATTTATTATTATCTGTGTATTTATTCCTATTTATACATTTCCCATCTATTTACCTTTATTTTTGTATCATTTATTTTGTACATACTTCTGATAATTGTGTATGTAACTGACTGTTTTGCACTCTGGTTAGACCATCCTTAAATGTCATTACACTGTGCTTGCATTTTTGTAATGACAATAAAGTAATCTAATCTAATCTAATCTATAAATGAGTTCCCAGTTGGACGTTTCAAATAGAGCTGCCTCTTGGTTGGATTTCCAACCAGAAAGGGGGGAGAACGTAACAACCCGGACCTTAAAATCAGAAATGGCTGTTTGATACATCAACTACGTGAAAGCTGTAGTAATATACTGTTAATCAGCTCTTCTGTCTTATTTGTGTCACATTAAGGGTCCCATGCAGGTCTCCCTTGAAAAAGAGATCAATGATCTTGGGACCTACCTGGTTAGATAAAGGTTTCCCAAGGTCAATGGATTGCAGCATGATTATAATGGCCCTCAAAAAGGTTTATTCACTAGCTTCTCAGATTTCCCGAGTTGAGCAGTTGTTCTTCTTCTGTTCGACTTTGGTGTAATCACGTTTAATGTGGAAACAACATGGACGCTACAAAGAAGATATGTTATACTGTATTGCTCAAAACGTTTTAACAACTTTTTTGTTTCGGACAGGGGATATCAGGAACAAATCTTTCCGATTGTTACTACACTGAAGAAGAACACACAAGACCACGGTTGTTTTGGAGAAAGCCCCAGGTCGGTATTTTTTTCATATATCGAAGTTAAACGAGTGAAAGCTTCACATTCCCAATTAACTCTAAACTTGTGTTGTGTGAATGAAGGACATATTTTTAGCTTTTACCTCAATTTTTTCAGCGAGGTTTTCATCAGGCTGTTTTACGTTCTGGTCTTTAAATAGCTGCAGAAACAGATATGCCCTCCATGACTGTTAACCCTCTTCAAAAAGTCCTCCATCACATATGGTCATTTTAGAAAAGAGAGCCGTACTTCTGGCATCAGTTATAGTCATAATTCTTGTCACGTATAGTGGTAATCTTACTCAGAACGGCTTGTATCCTCCCGGTGTAGACGCTATGGATTCATCATGTGTTTACAGCTTCATCAAGATGTCAAAGTCATGGTGCAAGGACATATAGAGCTGTACACACTGACGACTGAAGAAATCAATGGCAGAGTGGCTTATGGGAAGTCTTTTAGATGATGGAGCAGTGACGCTGTACAGCAGCTGAGCGACAAGCCAATGAGGCCTTCTCTCTCAATCTGTGAGGTCTCTTCTGTCAACTGTGTTGTCATCCAGCAACGTTATTTAACTTAACATAATATCAGCCAAACTAGCTGTTCTTGGTTTGTCTCAGCTTTCTATCCCCGCCTGTCATCTGTGAACATTACTTATTACACACTTTTTCCTTATCTTAAAGGGTGTCTGGGCTACGTTATGAATAGCAAATGTCACCTTATTGAAAGGTTCAACAACACTATCATTTGATAAAAATATGCATACATTTGAACGATATAAATGGTTTTGATAAAGCCAAAACTATTTAGATTTGATTCTTAACTTTCAGGCCACAAGCAGCCATAATCCTGAGCAGAGTCACCATTCTTCCGTTTGACTGCAGACAAAATGATCAAACATGTTCGATAGTCAAGAACATAAATGGGCTCACCAAGCCTCTGGCAGCAGGGGACAACTAAACTCGATTTTGACCCCCCTGACCTGCCCATTCTGGACGCACCTCGTGTGAATACTGCCTATGAAGTTATCTCTCATCCGTCCGCCCGCCTGTCTTTCAGCCAGATTCTCAAAAGTGAGATATGTATTTCAACAAGGCGAGATCGATTGGAAGTGTGTAGCAATAAAGGTTAGATACAAAGGAAGACTTTGCTGATTAGCTAGTTCGATGTAATAAACATGGCCCTTAAGGTAAGAACAATTGTCTGGGGAAAGGTAGGGAAACATTGGCAGAAAATAGCAATGCCAGGATTGGGAATGGTGGGACTTTGACAGCGTGGGAAAAAGAAAAAAAAAGCCCCCAGGTGAATCACCTGAGGCAAAAAGACGGAACGTGAGAGAAAATGTTTTCCCTATTGAACATTTGCTTTAGCTGTTAAATTTGGTGGACACATTAGGATACAATAAAATATATGGTTGTGACTCTCTTGCCAGATGTTCAACTTTATAATTGTATGACCAAAACTGTAAAAGTAGAATTAATCCTCCCGCATCGGTGTTCCAAGTGTTTTTGCTCCTTCATAACAACTTCCAATGTTTAGTTCCTAATTATCAGACAATCATGATCTTCACTTTAATTAAGTCTGTAGTATTATCAAAACTATCACAAGTTTATTAGCAGATTGATTTGAAAAGCTTGTGCTTTTTTATGTAACACCAAGAACACACGTTATATCCAATATAATGCACTTTTTGGTGGCTGAAAGGTGCAAACGCGTTACAGAAACCCCGGAATGTCAACAAACGCTCCGGTCCAAGCTGTGCGCATCAGTTTTTAGTGTCCCCGTTTCCGCTGTGTTTTGAGCTTCTTGCAGCGTTTTTGTGTTTGCAGCGTTACGTTTATGCAGATTTGAATGAACCCTGAGCATTTGGTGCTGCTTGTGTTGTCAACTTTGTGAATATGTTTCTTCATTTGTATGTGTTTTGGGAAATTTGTGTTTTCATTTTTGCATTGTTTTTGAAAGTGCAAAAGTCTCCTAATGTAAGCGGCTTGGACCGTTCTAGCGCGTTTCCCCCTGTCAGCCACTGTATAATGATACAGGTCAACAAAGTCAATATTCTGCACAACCAACTTTTATAACAAACAGAAATGAATGGAAAACCAAAGGCTGTTTGGCAGGAAGGAGGCATACATAAAAGAAACTCCAGTGCACAGGCTACAGAAACGCCAGTATATTATTATTATCATGGTGTTCAATAAGTATAAATCATGACAGATCACGTGTATGGTGCTGCAAGGGACAGCAAAGTCAAGAAAACCCTTTAACCTTTGACTAATGTGACAGGAAGTGATCTATATCAAGTTCTAGTTTACTTTTTGCTCTCTTTAAGATTTGTTCCCATGCTTACACTACTGAGTCCTATTCATGTCTCCTCTCAGGTTCTGGTCAGGCAACACATCAGAACTCTTGAATATGTGTGTCGTATAAAAATACACGCTGAGTAAATGGTTAATGATGAGATGATGATGTAAGCAGAAGTAGAAAAAGGCAGTTTTTCTTTAAACTTTTAGATTTCACCTCAGAGGCCTGCATGCACGCACACACCAGCCGCCATTTCATCTTACCCCCTTACCTACTCAAAAACACATGCATGCACTCGCTCACTCTCTCTCATGCACACATTATATGCTCGCACGTCCGCGCAGACACGCACACCCAACCCCCACCCAATCCTCTGCTCGACATGCAAACACACACACACCCTTTTCCCTGCTACCCTCCACACACACACACGCACGCACACATATGCACCCCCCCACTCCGTGCACACACTTGCATGTGCAAGCCAACACACACACCCTGTTCCCCTCCCCCTCCCATTCCATACCAGGGCACATCGTGACAAAACAAAGAACACCCCATAATAGTCAGTCGCACAGTATGCATGGTAACCAGTTATGTCAGAGATGAAGGCTCAGTGTGCATGTGTGTTTCACTGTATTTATGAACACACACACACATGCAGTTGCACACATTCATATAGCTGTGTTTCTGCAGATAAAGCTCACTTCATACATAAATAAAGACACACAAGCACACACTGATGATACACACATCCATTCCGCAAACCCACGTCTACACACACAAACCTTCACAAACATGCAAAATTACAGGCTAACCGGTGTACAACCTGATACACATACTAAAACCCATGAGTGCATGGAGTCACATGTACACACCCAGAAACACACACATAAAAGTACACGTCCATATATAATGACATACGTGAAGAAGAACATTGAGGCAGAGGAAAGAACACAACACACACACACAAAAGACTGAGACAAAGACACAGGAGCAAGGACACAAGGTTCAACGCTAAGACAAAGACAAAAAACATATAGATTAAAGACCACTCGTACACAGAAAAGTACACATCCATATAAACAATCACAAACATAAACAAGAATACATTACATTACATTTAGCTGACGCTTTTATCCAAAGCGACTTACAATAAGTACATTCGACCAGGAAGACACAACCTTGAAGAAAACAGAATCATATAAGTACATCAGGTTTCATAGAGCCAAACATTTCAAGTGCTACTCAACTGGCTTTAGATAAGCCAGTCCTTTATTAGTATAAAAGTGCTTCGTTAATAGTTCTAACGCTCGAAGTGGAGTCGAAAGAGATGAGTTTTCAGTCTGCGCCGGAAGATGTGCAAGCTATCTGCCGTCCTGATGTCAATGGGGAGCTCATTCCACCATCCTGGAGCCAGGACAGCAAACCCACGTGTTTTCGCCGATGGGAACTTGGGTCCCCCTCGCAGCGAGGGCGCAACGAGTCGTTTGGCTGATGCAGAGCGTAGTGCACACGCTGGGGTGTACGGTTTAACCATTGAATAGAACAACAAAAGGCAGACACACACCAAGACACCAAACATTTATTGTCAAACACATTTGACAACATGCAGAAACAACTACATTATGTCATTTATTATCAAGCACAAAGACAGGGGAAGGACAAAGAAAGTGCAATGACCACAAAACATATACCACGTGCACACCTACAAATGGTGTGTGTTCACGATATAACACGCAAAAGAAAGATTGTATGAACAGAATTTCAAAACTAAACACAGACATGTCACACTCATACAAACATGAACACACAACACATATATGGACACAAACATTGTGGACACTCAAATACAAGACATGGCAACCAAAGCACAAAGTCAGAAACACGTCCATCTAAAAGTATAGAAATACACAAGTATAAACACGCACCAACATTTTACGCATCATCATAAACAACCTTCATAATACAAACATAACATTGGACACATCCGATTTTGTAAACAGGCGAACACTTTATGATAAACACACTAACAGAAAGACAGAAATGGTCATTTCAACAGTGTTATCCA